GCAGTTGTCCCCTGGACTCTGTGGTCAAGCAACACTAACCCTCTTTCTATTTCAGGTACCCGAAGACTCAACCATGTTCCACGGTGTGGGCAGTCGGGAAGTAACCACCCACACACTTCCAAGAGCACACGAAGCCTCCCTAAGCATCATTCTCCTTTACCCACATCACCATCATTTTGTTAAAAGGATATATTGAAGGTTAATATGTCCTTTTAACTTGACCTATGTCTATTTTCTCACCTATTAGCTCTTTTTAATTTCATATATATTCATATGACAAGTTCGTGTGTGATCAGATTGTTCGAAATGTGTTGCTCAAATACATTACACGATTCAGATAAATTACGACTTCTTATTGCTTTGTCTAAATTCACAAAAGGAACTAATTGTTTTAAACCGTTATCATTATCTCATTTCACGCCCAACCTTCCCTCTTCACTGGGCTTACCACCAGCTAAGCGAGGTTTAGGAGTTCGTTCGTTGGCTATCGAACCGCGGACCACATGATGCATGGTTGGCGAACATTCTATCGCTGCAACACCGACGCACACTTGGCTTATATGAAAGTTAAGTCAAAAGCAACGAACTTTTTTTCCTGACTGACACAACAATCCGTTAGGTATTTGCCAACTTGCACCATCACTCATATCTACCTATCTATCAAGAGATGTGTAGAGGTGTAGTAGTTCTCTCTATCCTACTTTAAGGCTGTGAGAAAAGGCTACAAAAAGTAGAAGTGCAGGAGTTTTTAACTATAGCTGTCTTCATTTAATTGCTCGTGTTAGTTGAAACAATATGACAAGTGATAACAAGATCAGGCATACAGGGAAGTGAGGAAGAGAAGTCATTCATTCGTGAGGTTTGCGATCCTGTATCGATCAAGATGACTAGAACATGACTTCACCGACAAGTAATGTTACTACCGGAAGTAGGATAAGGTTGGAAAAGAGTTCAGACGAAAAAATGCCACCAATCCAAGAAATTCATTGACTGTGTATTGATTTGAGTCATGTATGAAGGAGTATACTGTCTGGTCGGAGGCCTTGGTAATCTAATTTGTCACACTCAATGTTTGTATAATGTAGTATCACTCCGTTTCTGTTTTTTTTTTTTGTTTTTGCGCTTGCTCTAAGTGTAGCAACTTGAATTATTGTGTAAAATTCTCCACTGATACATTTGTTGTCAGTTAGTCAGCTTATCGATTATTAGGGTTAAAACAATTTCAAACTGTAACAAAACTAACATATGTCAATTTTGCACAAGTGAAATCTAGTCATGAACTATGTACGATCCATAGACGCTAGGCTTGCTTATTGTATGATGAACCTTCAAACGTTAAAAGATTTTCCAATAACTAGAACAATTAGATTGACTTTATTGAACAGAATAAGAGTTTCAAAACAAAATAACAATTAGGAACTGTTATATATATATATATATATATATATATATATATATATATGTATATATATAACCAATATTATCTATTACATATCAGAAGTATTAGCAAATAATTGTATATAACTAGAACTAGACAATAAGCAAATTAACCGAAAAGTCTTGGGTTCGAACCCCAATGGATGCATACTGCCGCTAAAGAGCCCCAAACTAGAACGAAGCAACTGTTCAGAGTACTGTCTGGTTTTCCAATAGTTCCGTAACCGATGTCAGCTTGTGGGTCAAACCTGTGGCCAATCATATCCCTGCAAACCAACACTTGGTAGTCAATTATTGTCGTTGCTGTTGTTGTTAAAACCTAATTATCCGGAATAGACGTTTTATGTACCGAGCTGTGCTGCTGCTGCTGGATTCAACATAGAACTTGGCACCGAAGTGCAGCAGTTCCAGTTGCCACCTTCCAAAATAGCACACAAAGGTAGACAGGAAAATGAGAGAAGAGAATCAATAGAATTTAGATAAGTATAAGAGTGAAACAGAATGAGTAGTGGTAGAAAGGAATATGAAGGTTAAAGAGACTGAATACATCTGCGTAAGCCATTGACAACGATTTTGAGCCATGTCACCTATTGTCTCCAGCCATTGTTTCTTAGAGTCCCGAGGACCCCAACCCGGAAGTCTGCATCTCCCTACCTGACTCAGTTTAACTGTCAGGGATTTCATGGATTGATGAGGCCATGTTTTTGTTTGGCCACCACTTACTCTTTTCCAACCTGCACCTATATCAGCTAGTAATGCCCGTCGGGGGAGACGGTGGTTAGGCATGCGCAGCACGTGACCTAACCATCTCAATCTATGTAACTTCATAGCCTCTTCGAGTGATTTTCCCTCTTTGCCCAACACTCTCTGCCTAACGTCAACATTACTTACCTTATTATACCACCTAACGCGAGAAAGAGATCGTAAACATCTGTGGTCAAAAACAGACAATCTCTTCATGTCTTCCGCTCTCAATGGCCACGTCTCACCGCCATAGAGAAGGACGGAGCGAACTGCTGAGCAGTATACACGTCCCTTGGCTGATAGCCGGATGTCACGCCTACGCCAGAGACGGTGTAAGTTAGCGAAAGCAGCCTGAGCTTTCTGGATCCGTGCTGTGATTTCGTCACCAATCAATCCGTTGGTGCTGATACAACTTCCCAAATAGGTGAAGTGGTCAACATGTTCTATCACTTCACTCCCCATCACTAAGCTAGGAGTTGACGTAGTCCAGTCCTGTAGCAGCATCTTACATTTCACAGGGGCGAATCGCATGCCAAACATACGAAGATTGCCGCTCAAGGTGTTCAGAAGACTCTGCATTTTGTCAGCGTCCTCCCCTAACAGGACTATGTCGTCTGCGTATTCTAAGTCTATAAGACTATTCCCTGGTAACAAGTCGATTCCTAAGTCGTTAAGTTCAGTTACGGATACTTCCATTAGCATATCGATGATGAAATTAAACGGAAAAGGGGAAAGTGGACATCCTTGACGGACACCACTGGTTGTTATCAATTCAGATGGGGCATTGTTATCTGAAGCTGACATCGGTTACGGAACTATTGGAAAACCAGACAGTACTCTGAACAGTTGCTTCGTTCTAGTTTGGGGCTCTTTAGCGGCAGTATGCATCCATTGGGGTTCGAACCCAAGACTTTTCGGTTAATTTGCTTATTGTCTAGTTCTAGTTATATACAATTATTTGCTAATACTTCTGATATGTAATAGATAATATTGGTTATATATATACATATATATATATACATATATATATATATATATATATATATATATATAACAGTTCCTAATTGTTATTTTGTTTTGAAACTCTTATTCTGTTCAATAAAGTCAATCTAATTGTTCTAGTTATTGGAAAATCTTTTAACGTTTGAAGGTTCATCATACAATAAGCAAGCCTAGCGTCTATGGATCGTACATAGTTCATGACTAGATTTCACTTGTGCAAAATTGACATATGTTAGTTTTGTTACAGTTTGAAATTGTTTTAACCCTAATAATCGATAAGCTGACTAACTGACAACAAATGTATCAGTGGAGAATTTTACACAATAATTCAAGTTGCTACACTTAGAGCAAGCGCAAAAACAAAAAAAAAAAACAGAAACGGAGTGATACTACATTATACAAACATTGAGTGTGACAAATTAGATTACCAAGGCCTCCGACCAGACAGTATACTCCTTCATACATGACTCAAATCAATACACAGTCAATGAATTTCTTGGATTGGTGGCATTTTTTCGTCTGAACTCTTTTTCAACCTTATCCTACTTCCGGTAGTAACATTACTTGTCGGTGAAGTCATGTTCTAGTCATCTTGATCGATACAGGATCGCAAACCTCACGAATGAATGACTTCTCTTCCTCACTTCCCTGTATGCCTGATCTTGTTATCACTTGTCATATTGTTTCAACTAACACGAGCAATTAAATGAAGACACCTATAGTTAAAAACTCTTGCACTTGTACCGAGCTGTGAGACACAATCAGGATGCATGGTTGGTGCGAAGGCTGGGATACTGCCCAGGAGCCCAGACAGAAGCAGGTGGTTGTCTTTACGGACCACTCTCCGGGTTTATGACTTGAAGTCTCATCTACAGGACAGAGGAGAAGCGTCAGGAGCTACGTTCCTATAGTTGCCGATGACCAATACAGGTTCATACGCGATTAGATCCGTTTGGATTTTGAACCTCATGTACACCATAGTAAAGGCTTTTAATCTAACCGCCATCCAAACAAACTTCCTGGCATAGTAGGACCTGCAGGAACATAAGTTCCAGCCAATGCAGCTTGATGGATCACTGAAGTATGCAAGTCCGACTACCACGTCATCAGTTATTGGCCAAGTATACGTATGAGACGGAGAGATTGACATGTGGCTCATTGGTTTAAGCATTCGGTTTTCAAATGGTAGGTTACGAGTTCAAGTTTTGCTTTACCTACTTTAGCCTAAACAAGTGGGTAGCATCATTAAATTCCTCATAGGATAAGTTTGGATTTCTAGCACAAGAAAAGTTTGTCCCCGGTTATTAACGGAACTTAAACAGACGGCATGCATGAGAGCTGATGATACTATTCAGTTGTTATCCAGATTGAAGTAAGCACAGAGGGCTCTAAATCCAGGATCTATTGGTTAGAAATTGAATGCTGGAAAGCCAGTGGGTCATATTTCTTTTTTATTTTTATTTATTCTTTTACGTTCCCAGTGGAACATATGGCTTCAAGCTAGAGGCTTGAAGTTTCTGTAGCAGTGGTGATTATTTTTACAGGATGGGGTTGCTGCTGGCCTCATGCCCAACCTTCCTTTATTGCCGGTTTAGCGAGGTTTGGGAGTGCGTCGGCCGGGAATCGAACCCCAGACCACCTGTGTTGTCGGCGAGCACTCTACCGCTTTACCACCGACGCACATTATTATTACTCAGAATAATCAGTGACTAACTTATTTTTAAGTCTTTCCTTAAACAAATACAGAGAATTATACACCAATGACTGAAAAACTACAAGACGTGTTCAATCAACTGAACTAACAACAATGAACTTACAGATTCTTTCGGTTTCGGAGGAAGATATATAGTGCATTGATCATTAGAATCTAATGGTAAATTTGCTGTTGTAGTTGTTGTTGTTATAGGAGGTATTGTACAATTGGCTGATAATGCAGAGGCATCACGTTTACAACCTGTAGCAGCAACTGGACCAAGTGGTTCTGTGAAAAGTGGTGCTTCAATCTCTTGATGATTATCATTGGATCGTGAATGACGAGGCATATTAACAGCTACTACAGGTGTTATAATATTTGAAAAGCAGTCCCCGGTGAAACTAACTTGCTGATGATGATGACTCTGTGTTGTATCAGCACTTTGACCAGTTGGAAATAATGAGAAATGAGATTGACTTATTGATTGTTCAGGATTATTGAATACTAGTCTGATAGGCACAGGTAAGCCAATAAGTTGTGGAAATGGTTGTGTATGCGTAGATCGGGTAGATGTAGATGGACAATAATCACCAGTGACTGCAAAGCATGGTATAGCGGGATTTTGAACCAGCTGGGGGAGAAAAATCAACAATTAAATCTTATTTTTACTGAAATAATTAATAAAGATAACAACAACAATATGCACATAAAAAGGTAAATGAAACTGAATTGGAATAATTTAACTAATTAATAGTGTTTCCTGCAAGGTAAACGTAATTATAAGGTCATAGTGAACAATTCAAAGAATTAGTAATACACAAATATTTATAGAAAGACTATCAATAATTATAAATAAGTGAACGGGAACTTAAGAATTTCATTTAGATGCTGTCTAATATAGGCCACGTAGAGAATGTGTAGTCTGCCTGGTTGAAGTTCTCAGAACTCTAAAAAACCAATGCCTGGAGACAATCGGTGATATGGTTTAAAATCATTTTTAATGGAGTAGACGCATTTTTCAATTTTCGTAACCTAACATATCCATTTTTTTCTCACGTTACTATTCTGTCTCCCTGATATTTCTTCTGCTTATTATCGTTCTTTTGAATGTCTTCTTTACTATCTTTCATTTTCCTTTCTGTACTACATGGTGTAGCACCTTGGACTGGTGCACTTCTGTGCAACCAGTCTATCAGTCAGCTAGCAAACCTATCAATCATAATGCATTAAATACGCGGAAACTTAATACTAATTAAAACTATCGAAAGCCTAAACGATGAGAATTCCGTTACTGGAACAGAATCTTCTTATAGCAAAAAATAAATAAATATGAGAGCTGATGATAACACAATTCAGGCATTCAAGCTAAACTAGGTGAAACAGATTCAAACCTAGCCATATTGAAATGAAATAAGCAATATATGCAAGTACTTTCTACTGGGATTAAATAATATATATTTATCAGACAACCAAGGAAAGAAATATGATCAATAATTACTACATAAATGGTTTCGAGGAATTAGTTAGTTACTATAAACCTTTGATAGTTCAAACTTCCTTAAGTCCATAATACTAAAGATGTAGACATTTTCCTACATATTAAACTAACATATTACGACAGGTAAAAATTCTTTTTTTTTTATGTAATCAGTACGCTCAATCACTGATGATAATAGATTAACATAGAAGCCTGCAAAGAAGCAAGTCAGCTCAAGTTATGAAGGTAAAACGATACAACTAACATAGATCTATGTGAGTCATCGACAGAGAGGAAGAGAACTATTTAAGTGCTTCACCAGTCAGTGAAGCTTAGCAACCCGACGACGCTAGACAGATGATGTATATACAGACGACACAGATAGACCAAAGTGGAACGTTGCACACAAATGTATCAGTTTAAGCCGAAAAACAAAACGTAAAAACGAAGATCACAATGATAGTGAGATAGAAAGAAAAGGACTATGGAATGGAGTGTACAATAACTAAATGAAGACTGGCAAAAACTTGGAGAGTCTGATAAACAATTAAGAGTGAATAAGTGTACGACAGTCTGTCTGGATTCAACATAGAACTTGGCACCGAAGTGCAGCAGTTCCAGTTGCCACCTTCCAAAATAGCACACAAAGGTAGACAAGAAGATGAGTGAAGAGAATCAATAGAGTTTTGACAAGTATGAGTGAAACAGAATGAGTAATGGTAGAAAGGAATATGAAAGATTACAGAGACTGAATACATCTGCGTAAGCCATTGACAACGATTTTGAGCCATGTCACCTATTGTCTCCAAAAGTGTACGACAGACTGAGACTTGATATAGGATGTGGCTAACCATTAATTCCGAACACTATGATGACCAAAACTGCACAATCTATACACCTCTAAATCATTGACTGCATATGATTTCCAATTAAACTGTTTTGTTCTCCGTTATTACTATTCCTTTGTCTCACACCTCTGTTTACTGTCTATATTATGCATTTCTTCTACTTTCTTCTCTTGCTTTGTGTGCTACATGGAGTGTGGCGACTTGAACTGCCGCATATATGTGCAAAGTTCTACGTCGAAAACCGACCGACCGATTGACTGCATATACCCTTCTGATATGCGCGTTTGCCAATAAACTAGGAGGATATACTACAGGAAGCTAATGCATCAGTAGTACGCACTATGGTGATTAGAAATTTTAGAAAGGATATCACAAACGTGACAAAACTGAAGACAATAGCATTTAGCAACGCATTATATATACGGGGAGAGAGAAATGTGGATCACTAATGCTTTAAATTCACCTTAACCTTCAAATTGATCTGGATCAAGGTATGTGAAAATGGAGATTGAGAGTAACTTTCAAGTAAAGATAGACTTCTTCTTAGGTAAATGGAAGTCATTAAATATCCGAAAGTGAATATGCTACACCACATCAAAGGGCACAACAGCCTTGGAAGAAAAGAAGCATATCTAAAGCTTTATCAATAATATCATGTTATTTATGCTTTGTGAAAAAAGTGAGTATTCAGTAGGTTTGAAGCACGTGATGCAAACAAAATAATTGAAATTGTTGTACGGTCACACAGAACTACTGAGACAATGAAGTGAGCTCTCTTTACTTATACCAATTAGATAGAGTAGTAACGTCTACTACTAATGCTTCTTACATCTTTTAGATTTCTGAAAATTTCAAAAGGGAATATATTAGGAAACTGTGAGATTTATGACGGTTATAAGTGTACAAAAACAAATACTGTTAGCGTATATTTGCCCACTTTCTAACATGATAACTTAACATTAAAGTTTCCAGGGAAATTCTTGGCTCAAAAATATGCATAACCTAGAAAAAGACTAATTATTTAAATTAGTATTCATGGAAACATTTGGCGTATGATACTTCCGGTTTTTGGAGTCGCAAACGTGATTAAAAAGATATGACAAAATGCTGTGCGTACATGTAGACTGTAGTCAATTGTATTACATTAAAGAAACTTGAATGCTACCTTGTTCACCAGTGAGTTGTTCTACATTTATCAGTGACCTGACATTTAGGGAATGCAAACTGTTTTTATTAGATATACCTGACAGAAAGTCATAGTTCGAATATTAATTCTACATCTTGAATAGTAAAATTATAAACCAACAACAAACTTGAGTGTAAGTGGAGAGTATTACAGAGAAATGCTAGTCAATATTAGTCACTAGTGAAATGCTAATGTGGCGATTTATCCTCCTGAACTCAAGTAAAATAAATTCACGACATTGCAGTGATGAGGAACAGCACTCACATTACATACGGATAGTAAGATCAGCCCTAAGTATTCACACGATGAATCTAACCGGAAAAATAAGCACATTACCACAAAAAAATTAAATGCCTTCTTCAGAGAGAACTGCATGAATAATAAAATCACTCAACACAGACCAGACATTCATCAATCTGTTGGACTACTGTATTTAGTCACAAAATATGAAATAGTAATTAATAAGCTATTAAAGAACACATACTAGTCTATGTTCTGACTTAGACTTGTCACATAAACCACCTGGTACGGCTGAGGGTGGATAGGCAGATAATCTTCCACTCGAGATGCTCTCATATGGTAACATGTTCATAGTCTACCTCTACAAGGTAAGTCCTCACTGTCTTCAAGCGGCCAAGGTGTTCCTCACATAACTGAAAGGACGAATGCGAATGTTTGGCGCTCACAACCAGACTGGTGGATATGGAGGTCTACCTAGGGGAGCTGGAAAACCCTAATTCTATATCTTATGGTGCACATGGGTTCCAGAATTTGATAGGATAGAGCGGTGTATGCGCCCGTTTTGGACACCGGAAACTTTGATAACGCAGCTCCTGACGGTCTTCAAGTTGAAGGCTAGTGGTGGGACCCTTAAGTCAGCCACCGGCTTCGTCTGGGAGTCCTAGAAGTATACCAACCCTCGAAAAAATTGCGACTCCGTGTGGTGCATCCCCTTATGTCCCTAATGTACCAAGTTTGTTTTAATAAATAAAAATGATAAATGTATCATCATTAACTGGATACAGTATGAAAGCACCATGTGGGAAATACAGATAGAAAACAATCCAAGCAAATAATGGTCCAGCTGCAGTTTTATTTTGCCTTTCACAAAGAGAAAAGAGGCAAGGGAGAGAGAACTACTTAATCACATTACTGATTTCCCTCTTACATTCTCAGTTATTTACCTTACACCTCCTACGGGTTGACCGTAGTATTTTAGTTTGCTTATTTTAAAAAGCAAATAAATTCTGGCAGTCTTCATCCATGACATGATGAATCTCGATCTCAATGAGTAGAGAAGATAAGTGTTTAAGCATTTATTTTGATGTAATAAGCTCTACTAAAATGATAGGAATACAGCATTCCAACATGCAAATTGGACAGTAGATTTTTTATTTAGCGTTGTAATGGGCAGCCTAGAAAGGCACTTTGCCCATACAAAAGGTATAATATTGAAATATGCCATTTAACTTTAAGAAGCACAGGTCAGCAGTTAATCAGGACGTACTATGTAACAGATAGCGAATCATTACTCCTGTTGAAATCCAGTAAAACCTATCCGCTATATTTACAAAATCCAAAAATCTAACTCATCTTGGGTTTACTAGCTAACTCTTTTGTACTGAATCAAAATAAACCATTTCTCGTGGCATTCTTTCTATCGAAACCACAAATTTATTTAATTCAGAACAAATGTAAGCAACAAGCATCCCATATACCAGACGACTCCTTCACAGAAGAGAAAATAATGGAACTTATCACGTTAACTTATAGTTAATGCAATACGACTTGAAGCGCATGGTGTTCCTACCCTACAAGGAGGTCAGGTGGGATCGGAACACAATGTAATTTCCGAAATGATGAAAAATACGACAGGGTTCAGTGAAAAGGGTCGCTAACAACACTGCAGGATATAAAACAAAGAAGTGATACGACAGGGACTTTTAAGACGAGAATTAACGACTGGTAACCACTACTCTTTTACTACTATGATCATAAATACCATAAACGCATTTTACTTGGTGTTATTTTTCCCATACATGTGGTAGTACTCGAGCTTACAGCACGATATGAGGATCAGTTGGGCTCCTCATCCTACTAGCCTCATAAATCAGTGGATCATTTGAGGGGAACAAGCAAGTCACAGGATCAAATAGCTATGAACTGAAACTCTGAGGCACCCACCCACAAGAGCTGCAAAAATGACATTAGTCTTGACAGTTTAGCTTGAGCAATCACAGAGACTTCAGCATCTAGTCTTTAAGTCTAAACCCTTATGTTTGGTAAATTACATATACAAAAATCTATTTTTTCCTTAACTACACAATGGGTATATCCACATGTACAACACCAGCATATCGTCTGTAAGGACTTCACTTTGGTAATCACAAAAAACCAGTGACTGTTTAAACTTTTGACTGAAACTAAGATCGAGAGACAAATTGTTAACGTATACATACTGACATGTACAGATTAGTAGATATCACAGCATGCACTTTAGTCATAGGCAGCGTAGGAACTACAAGGCGCTTCACACATGTCAGTATACCTAATAATAGACAAAAAATCCCAGCTAATTTATATTTGAATATTTCTGGTCAAAACGACAGTAGTATTGAATGAATATGTTTCCAGATGACTTATACATAAAACAGAAACGTACAGGTAGCTGCTTTGCACTTTAAAAAGCTAACTTTGAAACTATAACATGGCTATAACGAATAATACAACAATTTTTTTCACTACGATATTCCTGAAGAACTAAGGTAAACTTAATCAGTTTTTATCTTAAGAAAGCCAGGTTTTGGAAATCTCAGCCACAACTTTATAAGGAACTTAGAAGTGCATGAAGGTAAAAATGCAAAATGAAGTCTCACCATCACTGTCGACGGTCAGCGAAAGTTGAATGCTCCATGATTAGAACATGGAAACAACCAACAAGGCTGTTGTTCAAAATGCCGTTCCACATGTGTAGATTAGCAATATGATAAATAATTACACATATCAGGGTAAATTAAAATACGTTATATCGACCACGATGCTACTTTTCAGATGTACAGAGATAATCCACACCAGGTAGCACAAAAACAACACAGAGCGTTTCTGGTCGCACAGATCAAACAAAACCGTTCGACCTTAATAAATTGACATAAACCTTTTAGGCAGCATAGCACATTTTGTGCTTGTAAAATGAGCGTACATGCAGAATATTTGGTCTTATTTTTTGCTATACTGTTAAAAATATCAGTTAGGTTTACGCGCACTCTACGAAAACTATTCTACGGGGAAAGAGAAGTGCCTAATGAACGCATTTTCTCCTTGAAATCCCTTACTTCATGTATTGTATTAGGAGCTGAACGATTTTCGTCTTCGTGTTTAGTATTTTCTATGAACGGTTTTGGCTTATAAGTATCATTCACAACTATATTTCAACGTACACACCTTAGATCGTCGGAGACTCACTTTCCTTCAGTTTCATTCGACTGCTAAATCAGCGTAATATATTTAGAACATATTTTTATCCGAAGCTTCCCTCATATTTCGGATCCCCACTCGCTATGGTGTTAATTTGACAGACTTGCTCTCTCAAGACAGAGGCTGTTTAATAATCTTTTTATCGAAGATATTTCAGTCAGGGCACCACATTTCTTCGGATCTTCAGGAAGAGACAGCAGTGAACACATGTTTTATAATTTTTACCTTTAGTTCCAAGTGGAACATAGGGCTTCAACAACACATCTCCACTTTATCCGATCTTCTGCCGTCCTCCTCAGCTTGGACCACGATTGCCCACAATCTCTCATCTCCTCCCCACATATTATCCTCCATGTCACACTCGGACGACCACCTGATCGCTTCACACTCGGATTCCACTCGAGTGGTGGCCTGCATTGAGCTTGATATCACCCGATGGCCTCCTCAGGTTATACTCGATCCATCCCCATTTTCGTTTACATGGTTGTTGGGCAGTCGGCTCTTGGTTGTTCGTTACCTCCCAGCAGCCCTTGGGTCCATTTCCAGTGCTTCGGGGGAATTCCATCTGGTCCTGCTGCCTTCTTGGTTGGACTTCAGTAGTCCAAACCCATGCTTTTGTTTGAAGATTGGTGTCCGCTGGTAGGCAGTTGTGTGTGTGTTGGTGGTGGTAGGGGTATTTCTGGGGGAGTTGCAGGTGTTGGTCGATTCAAAAGTTTTTTGTAGCGTTAGCCCATTGTTTTATTTGTCTCTCCGACTTGGTAATAGGGTTCCCTTCAACATCTTTTATTGATTTCATCATTTGGGTTGATCTCTTCTTGGATAGACACCTGTTTATCTGATACAGTGTTGTGAGGCCTCTTTTACTTACCACCTGCCTATTCTGCTTCAGTTGCCAGTATGTCGTAAAATAATATTTTGTCTTTCCTAGCGTTCTTCTTTACTGCTTTATTCAGTGCGGTGTACACTGAACTCAGCTTCTCCTTTTGTTGTACATCTATGCATTGGATCATCTCTTTCACCATCCTCCCCTCCCCAATCAGCTTCCAGATGTCTGTTGACAGTCATCCCGTGTCTTGTCTCTTCTTTCTCCCGAGAACAGTTGTACACGTTTCCTTTAACACCACCTTCAGAGAGTTCCAGTGTTCTTCTACGCAGGCTTCCTCAGTGATGACACGTTGCGTCTCCTACTTTGCTCTGATATCTGTAGTGAAGGCATAACTTGTAGTTTTTACCTTCACTTTCTGAGTGTTAAACTTGAATTGTAGCCCGTCTCCAGTTGTTCTGAAGGATTTCAACTCCACCTTGAAGGTTCCTTGAACTAGATGATGGTGTAAGCCCACATCTGCTCCACTTTGAGTCAAGCAGGATAGCTGCATCTCCACTTCATAAAGCAGTGCTGATATGAAATCTATCTGGTTCGTGGTGTGTCCAGCAGGCTAAACCCATGTTGCTTTGTGTATATCCTTGTGTTTGTACATGCTATCTCCAATCACTAAATCATTGGAAACGCAGAAGTATGTGAATAATTCTCCGTTCTCACCCATTTCTCCAAGCGAGAGCCTCTCAACCCATGATGAGTTGTCTTCTTGGATTATTTGCTCCTAGTTCAGCTGGCATTCATATCCCCATAAGGATTTTGATGTCACCATTTGGAGTGATCTTTTACATCGCCGCTCATATTCATTGGGATGAGTATTCGTCGCTGGCAGTTTGCCCTCAAGCGAGTGTAAATCCAAGTAAGAAACTATAATGACCACACTGACTTCAGTAAATCTATCGTCTACACATATACATATATATTTATATATTGTAGTGTTTAGTGAATCCCAGGATTTATTATTCTACAGCAGTCTCTACTCAGCATCTGATGCTGGCCTTCACTGTTCAGGTTGGCTCGTTAAGTCGAGGGTTCGTAGTCAAGCATCCATGGTACCCGGCAAGTTGTCGTGTTACGTTCGGCTGTTCATGCACGATCTCTAGCTAGGTAAGGAGTCACGTGGCACTACGATTCTAATTTCGAAGTACCTTTCGTATTTTGGATGATCAGTTTGTTTTTTGATTTTCCTTTGGTCTAAGCAAGACAAGTTCTATAAGAGTTTCGAGAATAAGAACCTGCGTTTACATACAACGTGCTCTGAGTAAACTTTAACGTTCCATCCTCTGCTAAACTGGTAATTGCATACATGAACTGAACCTTCTAAAAAATATATAAATGCACATGACGCCACTTCATAACCACCACCCGAATGTTAGGGAGTAGGTTTCCGGCTTTCCGTCCATCAGCAGGATTAGCCCTTTACTTCCAAGCCATAAAATTGTCTAATGAGACCACATTTAATTATAGTTCAATTTATTCAACAGAATCAAGCCATTTTATCAAACGAGAATACGACTACAAGATCAAAAACTGCTGGAAATTACCACATCAAGCCTTACTAAAATGTGAGAATGAACACGGAACTATTATTGGCCTGAATAAGCGAAATTCTACCAACTAGATATGTGTTTGATGAAGTTCTGTCGTCATCGAATAAGTTGAGGTTTGGTAGGTCATATTACAATCCTATTCTGAAGAATACTGATTGCTTGTTAACTTTGTGTGTGGACGTCAAATGTCCATGTCATTAGGAGGTAGGTAGCCATGTAAGATGTCTGGCGCTGAAAAGGAACATAAAGGCTACAATACTTACAAGTAAAAATGGTCTGCAATACATGACACTTTAAAAAGCGCGTTCACCGCCCCTTAAAAACGGGTGCATCGCTACTAAGGCTTCAACGCAAAAAGCACTTGTCAGCCGGGGGAATTGGAAAGACTCTTTACTCGTGGATGGACAATTCCGATGGGTAGTGGCCTCCAGGAGGCCAGTCGCCCGATGTGTCCTCTTGCAATACACACAAAAATAGACACTGGGACAAAAAGTGTCTACTGAATGTTTAAGACTAACTGGCAACGCTTCCCAGAGTGAATCATCCACTCTTGTCACCTAGGTGACACCACAAGCAAGCGAACGATGTGGATATTATGGTGTTACAGTTCTCAGGTAGTGTAAACCAGTTTCTCCCAATATCAGTACAGCAAAATTCGTCACAAAATTAATGGTACATAAGACTGCACAGTGCTACTCCCCACAAACAGTGCAGAGAAAAAGGAGGATGATTCCTAAAGACAACTGTAGGTAGTATTTTATAGGGCGAAGCCATATGGCAACACCGAAATTCCAGTAGGTGTTATGAATCCAAAACCCTTATCAGACAACACAAAAAGAGGGCTAATAATGGGTCGCGAGGTACTTAATTAAATGAATGATAACGGAGAACTGTTTGCGGACCTCTCTGTCTTCAGTCATTTGGTGATTAAAGACAGCGAGTACACGCGCACTGATTTACACAAGTCGGTGTGTTTCACTGGATGGACACGCGAAAACTGGGTTGACTCCACCTCAATCCGAAGAAATTGAACACGCAACCTACTGGAAACAGGATCATAATGAGAAGCAGGCATAGGTTCAGATCACACCCTTGTACAAAGAACTTTCGAGATTAAGTCGAAGGACTTCGAAGAAACCGTTGACAGACTGCAATTCATGCCAAAAAAGTGAAAGATTAAATCAAAAAAGATACTTTTACTACAGTCACCAGCAAAAAGTCAGGGATATTAGTCAAAATGAAGGATGGGGCTGTGTAGAAAATCATTGGAAAGCGCTGAAAGCGAAGCAGAAAAAACTCTGTGAGGACTTTATGGATAGGAAAAAGAGGCAAGACAAAGAGTGGCTATCTACAGACAACTGAGAGCTGCTAGGTGGGAGGACTGTAAAACATTGTGTAGAGAGGCAGCGTGTAGTCTACAGCACTCTCATCAGAGGGGTGGAGAAAGGTACCATTGTGAACAAAAGACACATTCACGACGCTCTTTCAACTGGCGAAGAATATACTTCTGATAAGAGAGACTGTAGGGATTAAACAAATTCGTTAGATCAACTGAACCTCAGCTATACAGTCTCCAACGATCAGTTTTCCTATCTGTGTATTGAAACATGCTGCAGACAATAAAGTTTTCAGGGAACAGAGGCATGCGTATCTCTATACTCTCTTCATATCATCGATAATAAGTACATCACTGGGCGTTTGTAAGTATTACATTCTCCCCTTACTAGCTGGGGGAAGGGTGTATTAGGCACAGTTTGGCGGCTAGGTTAGGCGGGTCAGGCTAAAGCGTCAACAGTGTGGCCAAAACTCAGATCTAACAGGATAGAAGACAGCACAGGAGTCACGGGCGTTATTTCTACTTGAAGACGATCTGAGATGGTCTCCAAGCTATTTAGGTATTGCAACTAACTGACTCTCTAGGGAATTTCAGAAAACCATATCAGATAACCAGATCGTAGTCCGGAAACAGATCGGCACAGATGAGACTGCTAAAAGATAGTGAAGGAAGCCTGATTACGGAAGAGAAGGGACGAAAGAGACTGCAGGATGATCATCTGAAAAGACTCCTGAACTGAGCTTCACCCACAGCTTGCCCAAAAATGCCAATGAAAAACTGGTGAATATTGGTGAATACCAGTCCCCCAACAAAAGCAGAAATGATCTCCACAAAGCCACTGAAAGCTGGGAAAGAGGCAGTAGTAGCTGGAATTCCCTCCAGAAGCGCTGAAAAGTGATCCGGAGTTCTCAGTGAACATACTCTTGCAAATGTCTCAGGAAATTTGAATGGAAGGAAAAATGTTTACTGTTCTTGCCAAACTGCCAAAGAAGAGTGACTGGGGCTTTCTCAAAGACTGGTGTGGAGTCATGCTCCTGACCATTTCATGCAAAATATCAGTCCGTGTCTTCCTGCAGAGAATAAAAGGTGCTCCGCATGGAAAAATCCGTGCGGAACAGGTTGCATTCAGAAAAAGCACATCATGTGCAGATAAGATCACAGTTCTAAGCATCATCATTGAACTCGACATCAATATCAACTCATTGGTAGTCGGAAGGCTCCTGTGTATCTCCAACAGGGACTTGAAAACTCCACTTCCGTTTGCTATAGATAACTTCAGTATTAGTTTCCTACCATCTTTCGACAAGAATTAGTGGTGGTCAGCATGCATTTCACAAACGACGAAATGAAATCATTACGAATCCTCTGTATTTCGTTAAAGAGCTGCTTGGTGTATACCATTAGTACTAAAGATTTACGACAAATAACGTGGAACAGTTTTACAGTATAAACAGATATGCATAGTGGAAGACTTCACTGGCATGGTGAAGTTCAATGTCATAATAGGCGGAAGGAATTATTTACCAGTAAAAATAATTGTCATGAATTCGGCAGTGTAAAAGATGGTTACATATCACACAAAACTGGCAACTTCGACAGCGTCCCTCTATTACTTTCTTTGTTTTTGGTAATTAAACTTCAATAATTTCCATTTTGTATGTTTTTCATAAGTCCACATAATCTGCGCTAATTATATGTATTGTCACTGTTATTATTTCTGTTTAAGACTACTCCGGACGGCTGACGGGTGGTAGTCTCAATACACTTCATTCTTCAAAACTCAACTGATCCCTGCACCATTCCCCATGGATGCAACCAAAGCTATGGCAGCTGAGTGGCGGAAAACAATACGCAGAAGTGCGTCAAAGATCAGGAACCATTAACTGAAGGCCAAGAAGCTAGCATAAAGAAATCCATGTGGTTTATACTATCACGTGAATATGATATCGGATATTGTGGTGAACAACTCAACGTCCACGCGTTCTCTTTGTTCGAAAAAGCTACTAATATAACTGCATCTCGAATCGAAAACTGGAATTAGTCCTACACACTAAAAATTAATGGATACATATAGTTCAACAAATATTGTTCATTCAAATGAACAAAACGACCTCGAGGTACAAATTGCTTCGTTACAGATGATAACGGAATAAAGATGTTTTGTCTACGTATATATACACATATATGTAGATACAATGCAAGTCGATGTTCTGTTTTGTTCGCATGCAGAAAATGGCATTGGATTTAGTTAACTGGTGCGGGAGAATTAGAGGCTTCAAATACCTGACATAAACGAAAACGAGAATACTCGTAGATTGTATGGCCGGTCTTAAGTTTCATTTGATATTACATTCCTTGCGGGGTTCGAATTTCGCTTTATATGCCTGCATGCTTGGCAGTCTTTCTGTTATAAAGGTACACTGTTAGGCTTCAGACTAAATTTTTTTGTTTGAAAATGGTATATTTGGCAATAGTGCTACTTTTTAAATCTGGCTTGTGATTTTTCTTTAGTTATTTCTTATTTCAGTTGGTTAATAGACTGAAATCGCTCCTGTTAATTGTCTTCAAACTTAAAACATTGAGAGGGACGACTCATTATAACTATGTCACTGTGTTGTGAATAGGGCTCTAGAGACAGCTGTTATTTCTTTAATGAAATACGTTGCGATGAAATTTCTCCGTCAAGAAAAAATGAATGGTAGGATTCAGTATTTTAGGACACCTCGTGAATCCTTGTTTGGCGTAGCTATCAAACCTTTCCTGACATGTTATTCTGGCATAATTAGGCAAAATTTCTAATTGTCAATTTTTGACCTAACCAGATATAAACATAATTTAGCTGCTATCTAAGGAGGTCTTTGAGCACCTGAAACAGTGAAGTTCTGCACCTTATATTTTGTGTGCAAACGTTGGCTACATCCATAGTTTTACATCTGGCTGCATTCAAAAGAATCAGACATTCCTTTGATAACATTGATGTGTTATTAAGTTTTATTTTAGGAGTGGGTACTAAGTTTTCCTCACTTGACTCCAAAATTTTTGAGTTTCCAGTCAATACCATGTCTCTTGACATTCGACTGTGCATTCACACTTATAAGTTAGCAGTTCCTGTCTCCTACAGACAGGGAACCCCCTGTTAATTTCCAACCCTTATTTTTCCTTCACGTTCCCCAGTGGAACATAGGGCTTCAAGCTTGTGGCTTGAAGTTTCTGTAGCAGTGTTTATTTTACAGCCTCATGCCCTATCTTTCCTCTTCACCAGCATTATTTCTGGCTTAGCGAGGTAAAGGAGTGCGTCGGCCTTTCCAACCTACTTTTGGAAAATTTGTGTAGGTCATATGGACAGGTCCTACGAAAAATTGTACTGACGGCTGTGTTTGTTATGAGGTATAAACTTCATTAAAACTAAGGTTTGATATGAATAACATGACTGCTTTCCAGAATTCTCACTTATTTCTAGAGACTTAATTACCACACTGCAAACAATAGCACTTGATGTTCTATTCTTTGTCTTGTCGTACGATCTAACAATATTAATTCTTCTCATTCTCTAATTACTAAATGATCCGAATTTCATTTTCTCTGAGCAGGTTGAAATGTGTTTTAGGGTTATGCATCCCTAATTTCTTAGATATTTCTGGTGCTACTGGCGATATCACGACTCTTGTTCGTAAAAAGTTGCATATCAGGCGTATAATATGATAGATAATGTCAACTAAATTTATGGATAAGAGTAACCACTGCACCGTTACAGCTGTCATAATATCTTTTGTTCAAGGGGTGGTATAAAACTAAAAGTCAACACATTGGTTGCACATACTCTCAGATCCTTGGATGGATTTCGTCTGACACCTTTATTTCTCCTTCATCCAGGTACAAATGCATTTTGACCAACATCCATAGTGTACACTGTGTAGTGTCATTGTTCCTATTCGTAATAATACGTCTTGCAGTAATTCCACATTAACGAGCATATCGAGGTAGCTTGTCATGGCCTCAACTTCTTTCCTATTATCCTGAATTATTTAAGATGCTTTTATGTCACCAGTTAAGGCAGGAATGTAATAGTGTGTTTTGTTTCCAAGATTCATATCAGGAAAAAGCTTTTTAGGTTGGTTTAATGCGGTCCGAGCTTTAGGTGTGTTAAAGTGTATTCGAAACTGTCGGTTTGCCAAGTGGTATTCATTTCGATGTGTTGTACAACTTTTTTATCTCTAGAATACCAAGAGATAGCTAGATCCTAGCACTTTCTTTGTCAATTACAAATCTCATACTTTGTCTATGGAATGCTGTTTGAGTTATATACAAACAGTTCATGTCATAGAGGATTAAGTTACCTGAGGATAGAAATGTGTCAATGTGGCATATTGACTTTTATTGTCGAAAAGGTTCTAACAAAATGCAGGTGTGTTTATCCTTTATCGACATTGTAAATTTCACAACTCTTCATTAGATTATTATTGTCCCACGAATATTTATCCATTAGAGTAACATTCTATTTCAGTTTTTATTTTTTTTCTAACTGATTAACGTCTCAGTACAGCAACATGTAGACTCATTAGTTAATGTTATCCATTTGAATACTGCCCGACCCAAAAGTCCGAATGATAAGTTTATCATTTTCAACAAGGCATTGTTTAGACTCAGTTTATGGACACTTTCAGTAGAAACGTGAGCCTTTTTGTCAAATGGGAAGTAGCAACTTAAGACTGGCTGTAGTGTTTGTGGATGGAGCGTCCACCTAAAGGATACTCCGGACGACATATAACATGTAGCTTGACACAGTCAATAGGTTTCATTGATGTTTATTTACCTATGAAGACTTTCATTTGAACTAGTTAAGAGAAATGACGTTAACTTTCAATGATTCCGATCTACTTCTTTCGTGCATTGTCGTAAACTTCCATGCATGTAACAGCAATCCACATTTACTATGTAAGAACTGATGGTATTATGTAATTACCAAAACTTTGGAACGTGGTTTCAAGGGGAAATCAATTGTACGGAATTGAGATTCTCAGAGTACTGAGCCACCTTTCTAAAGCAAAGCTTATATTGAGGTGGTTTGTTTATTTATTTAGATGGCACTCAAAAGTAATAGGAAAGTTTAGTTTTAATTCGCTTGTCACATCATCTTTTAAGTTCATTGTTAATCATGACTGGAGTTTTAACCGAACTATGTTGTGCAGTTTTTATTCCTTAGTGTTTCGAAGTAGTTGATTGCATTGATTGAAGATTAAAAGTAACATTAGACAGCAAATAAGGTGTATTGAGAAAGTTATATTTCATAACGATTTCGAATGATTCCTGATTCGTAAATCAAGATAGTAGTAGTAGTAATACTGTTTCATTGCCTACATTTCATACATAATATTATGCATGCTTTAAGTGTTTTCACTGAATAACATTGCCTTCTAAAATTTCCTTGCTTTTTGATTTTAGAAATGAAGGCTCATTCTGGTTCAGCATTACCTCCAGGATCAGTTCTAATACAGTCAGGTCAGACGATCTCTCAGGGTGCAAATATGGCAACTATGCAAACAAACAGTGTGACAAGTGTTCCACAGAATCTCCAAGTATGGGCACCATCACCGCCTGGACCTATAGCAGTTTCAGGCATGGGACAACCAAGGAATTCATCTAACTTAGTTACTCTTCCCTCTGGACAAACAGTACTGATGGCTAATTTAGTTACAACTGCAACCACATCACCGATGTCACTGCCTACTTCCACTCTTGGTCAACAGCAAATCCAAGTTCCACCGGTTATTGCACCTGGAAACCCTATTGTATTACCAACTCCTACGCCTAATGGGCCATTAACTACACAGCTTACTAATCCTACTGTTATACATGGTCCGAATGGCCCAATGTCTATGGCTTTACCAGGTGGAATAATAAGTAGCAATCCGTTAAACTCCTTTAATAATCCATCAAATGCTTTTGTTTCCACTGCATTAGGAAACATGGCTACTGATCAACCTGTACATATCGCCCAGATTGTTGACAATCAGTTGCATCCGGGAACAGCATGTTTCACTTCAAATGCTGGGTTTCAGGGAATGGCCCCTATGAACCAAATGATTTTGGACTCTTCGGGTTTTAACCTTGGGACTGCTCAGTCGCCAAATAAATTGATTAATATGTCTCCTGTTAAACCTCAGACATTAGTATCTTCTTCTATGCAACCTGTTTCCACCAGTTCCAATTCATTCAACACTACTGAAAATATTCCAAGAAGTTTGTCAGTCAGTTTTTCGTCTGACATTGAAATGTCACAGTCAGATTCATCGATTTCCCAGGCAGCTATCGTTTCAAGTACTCAGAATTTACCTGTTCAAGAAATAATACCACAATCAGTTCAAGAGGATAGTTCATTGACAACTGTGGAAAACAGTGTATCCGCTTTAGTACCAGTTACTACCAATTCCCTACCTGAAGAAATACCTAGTACGACAGAAAATAATCAAACAAATATTGACTCCAGTTGTGCTATCGGTGAACAGGTGACTTCGGTTTTCACAGGAAATTCATTGTCAGAGTTGTTAACTGAGATGGAGCCACACTTACAACTAGATCCTGATGTTGAAGAGGTAAGCTAAAAGAAGAACCATAATATTATATGATGATCCATTTATCAAGTGACGATCTGTGATTCCAGTCGTATTATTCGTTTTTCAGATAGTATACTGTAGATATCAGACTGACTACCAAGCAGTATCAAAGTCCTCATACTAAGGTTATGGCTACTTGTATCTACTAACAATATTATTATTTACTATTATTATTCCCTTGGGTTCCGAATGTAATATAGGGCTTCAAAAACACATCTCCACCTTGTTCAATATTCTGCTGTGCTCTTTAGCTGAGCCCACAACTGCTCATAATCTCTTATCTCCTCCTCGCACTGACGACCCACTCGTCACTTCCCATTCGGGTTCTACTCTAGCAATTGCCTGTATTGAGCGCGATGTCACCCGACGGTCTCCTCAGTGTGTGCCCTATCCATATCCATTTTCTCCTACATATTTATTGAACAATAGGTTCTTGGTTAGTTTGTCCCCACAGTCTCTTATTGCTGATTCTTTCTGGCCATTTGATCTTCAGTATGGAGGCAGCGAAGGCATCTGTTGATTAAAGTGTGCCACTGGCTGTTAGGAATGCTTTTTGTGACGCGCAGTGCCAGTTTCTGACCTATCTAGAAGAAGTGACTTGACACTGGTGTTTCAGACCCGAATGTTGATGTTTATGGTGGTGAGTGCAGAAGATTTGCAAACTGATTTCAGATTGATGAAGGTATATCTTGCCTTTCGAATTCTGGCTGATTTTGACTTCTTCGTCTATTCCGACCGCGTGGGGTTAAAACAATGGTTCGTAGATAAGTGGAGTAAGTAAGCTCCTTCAAATTTCTCTCACTGATATTGATTGGTGCTGTTTATTGTTGTTGTTGGTTGGTTGTCTTCACCACCTCCGTTTTCTCTATGTTGACCTGCAGTCCTGTCTTTGCTGCCTGCTTGCCTCTTCTTCCAGTATGTCAGTTTTCGCCTGCATGTCTTCGAGTTTGTGTGAGTGACATTAAACATAAATCACCGACGCGCGAAATCCAGATCTTCTGAAGTAGGTGCAGCGTATTCCTGTCTTCTCACTCCCAACACACAGTCTGACGCATAATCCAGTCCACCACAATTAAGAATATCATCGGTGATAGTAGACAGGCAGCCTTATCTCACTCCTGTATTTACTTCGAACACCTTGCTGAGTGAGTTTTCTGTTGTAGATCGTCTGACACACGGCATTCTCATACGACCAGCTGTTGAATGAGATTGATAGGGACTTGGAGCAGGCCGTAGTGTTGAAGTAGTTTCCAAATTACTTCTCGGTCAACACTGTCTGGTGAAGGCCTTTTCGAAGTCGATGAAGTTGAGGTAGAGGTCTGACTGTCATTCTATGCTTCGTTCGATGATGATGATGATGCGTAGAGTTGCAATTTGATCAGCACATGGTTTGCCTTTCCTGAATCCAGCTTGTTCCACTGGGAGGAGTTCTGCATCCAGTGGATCCTTTATTCTCTCCAGGATGACGCTTACAACACGATACAAGTGTATTACTCTTTGTACTATAATGTTGTGTTACTGAACTTACAGACTACGTTGCTCATTTGATCGACAGGACTTGGTCAGTATACTTTGAACTAGACACCTGAAATATTTATCATCTGGTGACCAATTCGTGTGAAATTTATTTGTTCTATAATAGAGAGTAATGCTTTACATAGTTAGGTTTTTCTGCTGACTAATTAAGACGGTGATTAATTACTCCAGCACAGCTATTCTTCAACTTTGGTAACCAGGGTTAAATAATTCACTTCACCTCTCTCTGTAGCATCATTCTATCGTTGGAAGTGAAATGTGATTATAGCTTTATGAGTATGATATTGGTGAAAGAGGCCTACAATTACCTCAAGGCCGATTTTCAACTTATTGTGCAGTTAGTAAGACAGTAATCTCTACCCTCTTCCAAGCACTTTCAGAGGATATATTAACTTCTACCGCGCATACAACTTGGCTACATAAATCCCATTCAGTCGATCATAACTAGTTATCTTTGATTCTTTCCTTGCTTTTTTGTTGTCTTTCTTTTCTACTGTCATTTTGCTCTCAGAAGCTTCTTAATGCAAACAATGTTTGTAGAGAAAAATAGGCATGATCACTTTTATGATAAGAAAAATCGTGGAGTTGGTCGTCAGTGTGAGGGTGACATGGAGGAGGTCATGTGAAGAGATGAAAGCATGTGGGCAGACGTGGAGCCAGGTGAAAACGTTGGCAGAGAACTGAACGCAATAGAGGCGTGGGGCTGAAGCCCTATGTTCCTCTGGGAACTAAAGGAAACAACATTATAATATTAACGTTGATTTTGTTTGTTTTCAGTATCTACAACATGAGCTAAAATAGAGCTGCGAATAGATCTTGTGTGTCCATTGCTTATAAAAAACACAGGATGGTTTTCAGAAATCCACTGATGAACATACCTAATTGTACTTTCAATCTAGCTGACTTTATAGGAGCAATGAAATTGATAGATACATACAGAAGAAGCGAAATTAGGTAATTTATCCTTCTTGAGGTGTAATCTACGAATGTTTGGCATGCGATTCGCTCCCTCCAAATGTAAGATGATGTTACAGGACTGGATATGATCTAGCTTAGAAATAGGGAGTGAAGTTGTAGAGCACGTTGACCGCTTCACTTATTTGGGAAGTTGCATCATCGCCAGCGGGTTTATCACTGACGAAATCTCAGCACGGATGGAGAGGGCTAGTTTCGCATATGCCAGTTTACGCCGTCTCTGGCGTAGACGTGATATCCAGCTACCGACTAAAAGGCGAGGGTACTGCTCAGCAGTCCGCATAGTCCTCCTTTATGGCTGTGAGACATGGCCATTGAGAGTGGAAGACATGAAAAGCCTGGCTAGTTGTCTTTGATCATAGCTGCCTGCGTTCTATCTCCCGTGTGAAGTGGTATAATAAGGTGAGCAATATCGAGGTTAGGCTTCGAGTGCTAGGTAAAGAGGGGAAATCAATCGACGAGGCTGTGAAGCTACATCGACTGAGATGGTTAGGACATGTGTTACGTATGCATGCTAGCCATCACCTTCCTCGATGGGCAATGTTAGCTGACATAGGGTCAGGCTGGAGAAGAGCTAGCGGCGGTCAAACCAAAACATGGCACCAGTCAATGAAATCCACAACAGTTAGTTTAAGCCACGTAGAAAGGTGTAGACTTCCTGGTTGGGGTCCTCGGGACGGTAAACACCAGTGGCTGGAGATAATTGGTGATATGCGGCTCAAAATCGTTCTCAATGGCTGGTGCAGATGCATCCACTCCTTGTGACTTATAATTTCCAATGAAACTATATTGTTCTTCGTTATCACTATTCTTTTTGTCTAATGTCTCTATTTTGCGTTTCTTTTTAATTTCTTCTCTTGCTTTGTGTGCTACATGGAGTGTGGCGACTTGAACTGCTGCACATCGGTGCAAAGTTCTATGTTGAAAACAGACAGACAATTTATCCTTAACTCTTGAACTGAAAATTGGAGTAGATGTGATGAGAAAGTGAGCTTTTGCTGCACTGAATACTCTTTTTTTTTACTGCATTCTCTAAGCATTGTGTTTTATTATTTCACTGATGTTATCATCAAGGGACTGCCTGCAGTCTTCTGCGTAACTTGTGATAGAGTCGTTTCCCTTGGTTTTAAATTCATATTCTTGTTAATAAACTTCTTTGGACAACCATTTTCACTGAGTAATTATCTAATAATATTGAGTTCTTGATTAGGGTATTCGTTAGAGCAGATTGCTTCTAGTTTTGTGAACTAAACATTGTATTACAAAGGCACGAAAGTCAAATAATCACTTATTATATATTGATCTAGTAACTAGGCATTCTTTCAGGTGACTATGGATTGACCGAAATTTGTATTAACTCTTGTCAATAGTGTAATTTATTGTAACACTTTAAAAGAAAAGATCACATTATACAATTTGTGAGGGATTAATTTCAATTGTAGTCTATCTGTCAGCTGATAATTTAATGATTCTTTCATGTTGTGCACAACTTGGGCTTACTCATATATCAATATGCATATTTACATTTTTTTTGTGTGTGTGTGTAGGTTATGACAAATTTAGCTAATGAATTTATAGCGAACTGTGCAGAAAAAGCTCAGAAAATTGCTTCGCATAGAGGTTCATCAAGTGTTGAGGGAAAAGATATTGTATTTTGTATGGGTAAGTTATCCCTGTCTTTACTTTTTTTGTGTATATCATGAACTGTTATCAGCTAGGGGGGAAAAAGCTTTAAACACTAAGGAACACTGTATTACTGTGGTGTCTTACCCTTGGTAGTATTCAAACGTACACCTAGAGTTTCGCGGAGAAACGAAACCCTTTGAGAACTTAGTTTGGCCCATGCGTTGTGGGACCTAATTAACCAGTGGTTATTCGCTTCTCAAGAGCCGTAAACTATAAAAGAACAGCAGTAGTACCCCTTGGTTTCTTAAGGCTTGTTAACGGTATCAGCTTGTGTCGAAATTAACCAAACTGCATATAATGTTGTCTAGTTCTGGTTGGTATTTTCATTCAATACTCCAAGAACACTGGAAAACCCAACAGCTATTTGCCGAAATTGTTGTTCAACGTGTATATAATCTATTATGTGGTGTAAAATATAGGAATCATATTAACTTGTATTGACATAACCAACTGCTTACGAGATATAACTAAGTGAGTCATCATAAGGTAGGCTAAACGATGTATGCTAGAGGCCTGTAATCAAAAGTTGGCAAAAGCCTAGTACACTCTACAACGTCATTTCAATTTTCTGAAGCAAGAATATTCACTTTATCTGACTTGATGAATGATGATAAAATGTAAGCTGACTAGAAGTCTTTGTAATCATCATGAGAAGTGGCGAGTGGGGGGGTGACTAAAGTTAAGAGGGACGCATCATCAAGAGTAGGGACAACATGTGTCAAATAAATGGGGGTGAGAAAGACTAGTGAGTGTAACTTTCTTCTAGTCAATTTGTTCACTTGAGACAACATCTTATAGAGAAGAACCTTCATCGCACTGTCATAGAAGAACTGACATTTTATAAACACCTCCGACTTTATTTGTAGTTTGATAAAGCTGTATGCGTTAAATAGTGAAACGTCACTAAAAAAAGACAACACTCGTTTTCATGTGTTGGTTTGTGGAGATTTAATTGATTGCAGGATCTCATCATGAGCTGACATCGGTTAGAGGAACCACTTGAATATCAATCTGATGCTCACTAGTGACTGGTCCTATTCAGGTAGATAGTTACCTAGGTTCTAGTGAGAAGCTGTGACCAGCTGGGTACATTAGGTCGGGTATTTTCATTCATTTACTTGTATAAAATTGGAAAGTATTTTAAATAAAAATGGAGTTAGGCTTAGTGATTAGCTGAAAAGGATACATAAATCAATGAGTTTGTTCATCCTCCTCCCCTCCACTGATTGAGTTGGCTAGGACATGCGCTATACATCTGAAACTATCACCATTCTCGACAAGCACCAATGTTAACTGAGTTAGGAGTGATTGGACCGAAGTATGTCACTAATTCATGAAATTATTGATTATTAATATGAACCATGCTGTAGTGTAGTTACCTTGTAGCTTAATTAAGGTTCACGGGATACTCAGAATTAATATTTTGAGATTTGTTCTCAATAGCGTAGATGTTATGCACACATTATCATCATTCATATTATGAATATTATTCATCTGATTATTTTCTGCGTCATTTAACATCTCTGGTCCTGTTTTATTCACCTTTTCTCGATATGGTGAAGTGAACGGATGCACGTTCACATTGCAAAGTTCTACACTGACTGGATAGGGATTCTCACATAAACATAACTATGTAAATAAACAATGGTGTTGTTAGATAGGCATAGATAATTGCTATTTTCTTATATCTCATCCAACAGTTGTACGACAGTGCTGCATGCCAAGTAATCCACAACGGGAAACTCACGGAATCCTTCGAAGTGAAGACGGGAGTAAGACAAGCTGGCTGCCTACTATCTCCAATGATTTTCCTGATTGTGGGCGGTAGACTGGATAATGCGACAGACAGCGGGCAACGAGGAAGCAGGCATAAAATGGACCCACACAAAAAACTTGAAGGATCTGGACTTCGCCGATGATATTTGTCTGATTTCCCAGAAACTGGAAGATATGCAAATGAAAAGCAACAAGTTGGCAGAAGAAGCATCCAGAGAAGATAGGACTTCAGGTGAACATAGAGAAAACAGAGGTGATGAAGATTCCTGGTCAACAGCAACAACAAACAACAATCAGCATAAATGAAAGAAATCTGAAAGAAGCAACCTCCTTTACCTACCTACCTGGGAAGCATCGTTTCAACTACAGGCGGACGGAAGTGATGAAGCGAGGATCGGGAAAGCAAGGCAAGCTTTCATTACTCTCAAGTCTGTGTGGAGGTCAACAGCACTCAGCATGAAAAATAAGATCCGGATTTTCAACTCCAATGTGAAGTCAGTGCTACTACTATACGGATCAGAGACTTGGCCAGCGCGTCATGAAGAGCACTTCGAACAAACTACAGACCTTCATCAACAGCTGTCTTCGCTCAATACTACTCAAGATCAGATGGCCGGTCAGAAAAGATCAGCAACAAGGTCTCTGGGAGCGAACCAACCTAGCAGGAACCGATTGTGCAACAAATATGCAGGAAGAAATGGAGGTGGATTGGCCATACTCTGAGAAAACAAACCATCATCAAGTAACATCACACGCCAGGCCATTGCTCGAGTGGAACCCGAAGGGGAAGCGGTGAGTTGGTCGTCAGTTCGAGGGTGAAGTGACATGAAGGAGTTCATGTGAAGAGGAGATGAAAGCATGTGGGCAGACGTGGAGCCAGGTGAAAACGTTGGCGGAGAACAGAACGCAATAGAGACGTGCAGCTGAAGCCCTATGTTCCTCTAGGAACTAAAGAAAACAAAAATAATAATAATTGCCATTTTCTGTGCAAATGTGATGATGATAACATCTCAACTGCTCACTAATTTACTATATGCAGCCTATGATCCGGATAAAAAACGACACTGACAAAACACAGTCTCCTGAATACTGTGAGCAAACATTTAGCACTAAGATTGAACTTTTTTTCATCAGGTGTAAATAACACACTGTGTAAAGGAAGTGGTAGTCATTACCGACTTCGAGTAAAAAGTTAAACAAAATGAAATAATTTAATAGTATTCACTTCACGGATTTACATCTACCCGTATATTAGGCGAGGCATTCAATAGTGAAATACTGTGTCCATTTGCCGTTTTCTGATTATTTTATTCCACTACTAGGATTCGCAGCATCCATATTACACTTCAAAAAAAGTGTGCGATAGTTAAGTACTGATACCTGTATAAGATTTTTTTCAGTATGTCGACTTCCAGAGAAGCTATCTTGAAGGATGATTAACAGAACCATTTTGATGTTTATATAATAAATATAAACAAACATTTGTGGAATTCTTTCAATTCTATGCAGTAAAACAGTTATACATCATTTAACTAAGACGATTTATTTTAGCTTTTAAATGTGATTTACATTGAACAACTCTTTTTTTTTCTCTCTTTTTTGTCAAATATAGAACGTGAATGGAACATTATTGTACCAGGTTTTGTCTCTGATGATCATCGGCCTGTACGTAAAAATTTAACCACTGAAGCTCATAGACAACGTTTAGCCTTGATTAAAAAACAAATTAAAAAGATGTAAAAAGCATAACTTTATTATTATTAGAAGAAAAACAAAATACTGTACAGTTGTCTTCTTTATCTTATCTTCTACTCATTTACTTTGAATATGCAATGCTCACTTTCTTCTATTTGTTATGACAAAACCATCTGCTCAATTCCCCCTACTCCCAACCAATACTACTGTCTTTTAAATTCTGTTTTTTTGTATGTATACTTTCTTTTCAAATAAGAAAAAAACAGATCTCAACAAAGTTAATCATATTTCATTTCAAATGCCGATTTATTATTATTATTATTGATCCCTTGGGTTCCGAATGTAACATGGGGCTTCAACAACACATCTCCACTTTGTTCTATTTCTGCTGTGCTCTTTAGCTAAGCCCATGACTGCTCATAATCTCTTATCTCCTACTCGTACTGACGACCCACTCGTCGCTTCCCATTCGGGTTCCACTCGAGCAATACCCTGTACTGAGCGCGATGTCACCTGACGGTCTCCTCAGTGTGTGCCCTATCCATCTACATTTTCTCCTACATATTTGTTGAACAATAGGTTCTTGGTTAGTTTGTCCCCACAGTCTCTTATTGCTGATTCTTTCTGGCCGGCTGGTCATTTGATCTTCAGTATGGATACAGCGAAGGCAGCTGTTGATAAAAGTGTGCCACTGGCTGTTGGGAATGGTTTTTGTGACACGCAGTGACAGTTTCTGACTTATCTAGAAGAAGTGACTTGACACTGGTGTTTCAGACCCGAATGTTGATGTTTATGGTGGTGAGTGCAGAAGATTTGCAAACTGATTTCAGATTGATGAAGGTGTATCCTGCCTTTCGGATTCTGGCTGATTTTGACATCTTCGTCCGTTCCGATTGCCTGTGGTTGAAACAATGCTTCGTGGATAAGTGAAGGAAGGAAGTAACCCATGGTAAATCACTCCCGTTGATATTGATTGGTGCTGTTTATTGTTGGTTGTCTTCACCACCTCCGTCTTCTCTATGTTGACCTGCAGTCCTGCCTCTTCTTCTAGTATGTCAGTTTTCGCCTGCATGTCTTCGAGTTTGTGTGAGTGACATTAAACATAAATCACGCACGCGCGAAATCCAGATCTTCTAAAGTCAGTGCGGCGTATTCCTGTCTTCTCACTCCCAACACACAGTCTGACGCATAATGCAGTCCACCAAATACCGATAGGTAAACTAAAAAAGAGTTTATTTTGATTGTAACCTATACGTAGTAGCAAAGCCTATTCATGATGACAACCTTCTATATCTTCGGAATAATTAAATCGTTTCCGGTTAAGTTGTCCTGATTTGTAGTCAATGAATCTCTCTAAAACAGAAAGTGATAATTGTACTTCAACGGATCACCTTATCAGCTCTGGTTAGTCACACCATTAAGATGACAGATTATCAAATTGCTTTAGAACCATGAAGATACAAGTAGCTCCCCATATATTATCACATCTTAGGCTAGTGAAAAATTATCCAATTTGTAGCATAGTGGTAAAACTTGCTGAACTTAGTTGTGACCGAGAATTATTAGTTATTTTAGGTAGACGGTAAAATTGGGGGGACTGGTTGTCACTACAAAGCTATACATAATACTGAAATGCTTGGAAACCATGTGATTTCATGGAGTAAACGGATAACAGCAAGTAACCAGAATGACAACGCCTTTAATTTCACTCAAGTCATCACTCTACAATTTTTGAGATCAACATTTGTGCGACACAGAAGTTAGCAAAGAGATCTCTTTCCATAACCTCACTTCGAAGTTAGTTGTGCAGTTATTTAAGTGGGTTACATGCACAAAGGTCAGAGGTTACTGTCACTTAATAACAATGAATCAAAGTGTACGAGAAATAACAAGGTGTGAAAAATAGCGGATAATCTTATGTAATCGAGGGTTGACAACCCTTTCGATAGTGCTCGAGTCCGCGTAGTTGTTGGGATAAAAATCAGATAAACTTGGGTATGTTGAATGAATTCCACATTATAAGTTATGTTCAGCTCTGTTTCCTCAGTATGGCACCATGATAGCCCAGCCATTTTCAAAGATAATCGACGTCATTACCAGTAAAACAAAACGTTACGATGATGAGTTTACTAACATTAACGCGGCAAATATATAATTCCTAAGCGCTCGGTACACCTTGAGAATGGCGGCCATTGAAGTTAATTAAGTGCCTTCCTGATAGAAGGTGCATTGTATCTTCTGACAGGTTTGTTAGAAATGGTCTCGCTTGCAAGACTTACCAAGAATACGAACTATACTTGTACATATAAAAATTTATTAAAAGTTAAGTGAGAGGACTTAGAAAAAATTCAACGTATGAGAGAAATTGAGATTTTCAGTTCGGATTTATTCGCATTATTTATGATTATATTGGTTATACAATTTAGGGGAAGTGCATAGTCATATACACAAGTAACTCAGAAGACCATTATCTCACGAAGACAGACGTCTACATTTTTGTGTCATTCTGTCACAGTAACATGCAACAGCGGTCGTGGATTCAGAAATATATCAAGCTGGACGATAATTTCGAATTAGGTGCCAAATTCACAACACATAACATTACAAAATTCCTATTTTTGCGGTCATTTATAGTTAAGCATCGAAGTCGATGTTCTTTAGTAGATAAGAGATTAAAAGCAGAAAATTTTGATGGGATAACGGGCATACAACAAAACAATTTGCTTGGATAGAAATACCAGAACAATCTCATCATTCCTACCCGTCAAGTCAATTCATACGGAAATAAAGAAACAGCAGACAATGGAGTAAGTAAGCAATTATTTTAACACCACAGAGTGCTACAAATCTTTGTAACCCACATTCAGCAGCTGTATAATGATGCCAAGTAATTCACAACGCAAAGCTTACTGAAGACAAGGTTGACTACTATCAAAGGTTATCTTGCTAACTTTGGTAAACTGGATCATGAGACAAACCATGGGGAGTGAGAAGACAGGCAGACGCTGGACCGACAGAGAGACGCTAGAAGACCTAGATTTCGCAGATGACTCAAGTTGTGTTGCAAATACTCGAAGATATACAAGCGAAAGCCAACAAGTTAGCAGAAGAGGTAGAGCGAAGAAAGAACTTCAGGTGAACATAGAGAAGACTGAGGTATTGAAGGTACCACACTAACAATGAGCACCAAATCACCACCAGTGAGGGAATCCTAAAGCATGTCGTCTCTCCCGCCTACCAAGCAGTGCGGGCGGGAATGTCGACGACAGGATGGGAAAAGCAAGACACGTCCGTTACTCTGTAATCAGTGTGGGAATCTTGCTAGTGATGCCTGTCGTCCGATTTGGCAGAGGGTCCTGACGTTAAAAGCTCCTATATGAAGTTGGCAACGTGTCTTTAAGAGGCTATATATGGCTCTCACCTTTGTTTGTGGACACAGAGTGAAGTGAAGATGACTCACTAGCCTGCAGAATAGTACTAACTGTAGTGGAGAAACAAGATGAGGAAGGTGATGTGAGTAAGGGAGAGTGATGCTCGAGAAGTGTGTGGGCGGTTGTTACTTCCCGGCTGCCCACACCGTAGAAGTTGATTGATTCTTCGGGAACCTGAAACAGAAAGTGTTGCGTGACCGCAGAGCCCAGGGGACAACTGCTTGAGGCCGGTCACACGCGGGAATCTACTGCACTCAGCATAAGGAACAAAGTCAGGACTTTAAAAACTAATGTAAAATCAGTCAGGGCTTGGTTCACGCGTCAAAAAAGGCATTTGCAACAGGCTACTGCAGACTTTCAACACCAGCTGCTTTTACTGCATTCCGAAGATTAGACGGTCGAAAAAGATAACAGTCGAACAACTCTGTTAGCAGACTTATGCAACTAATATGCGGAGAGACATGATGGAATGGATATGCGGTGAGGAGAACTTTAGGTGATACCACAAGTCACACTCTCGGGTGGAAGTATTGAAAGGGGAGCGAAAATTCGTGCGTCTGAGGGTGATATGGTAAAGAATATGGTGAGGCAATGAGGGTTTGTAGGAAGTGATGGAACTGGGTAAAAGGACGCAGAAACAGAATACAACGGAGATGTGTTGCTGAAGCTTTACTTCCCACTCAGAAAGACAGCAACGTATGATAGCAACAAAACAGGATGGCAGTGGCCACTGCTTTTGAAGATAAAATAAATCAGGAACAAACTATGTGTACTTTCCCCCTGGATATTATGCACGGTTTTCTTAACAAGATTTTATATTTTCTTAATTTGTTGATAAAAAATCGCACAGACTGGTAATGTCACACTATTCACGGATATTGTTTGTCTGCCACCAACACTCTATTACTACTAGATTTTCTTTTGCTGCTACTCATCTGAAAACACACTGAGATTATAGGAAGTTATATTCATACATCAGAGAATACAGGCATACATCAATCTACAAAATGACATTTAGTACATAATAATGGTAGAAAGAGTAAACATCATTTAAAAATGTTAAAATCACTTGATATACCAAGAGTTGATCCACATGGCAAAGTCTAACAACACGCATTCACAGAGAGTTAATTCATATGCTGAAGCTGTCTCTGATAAAGAAATCTTTCCAAGTTGCTTTGAAGAAAACCATCTCCAAACCGATGAAGAGATGCATAGAACGGCACGAGAAAGTGGGAGTATATGATGTAAGGTTACCTGTATCACGCGTGGCCTTGCTATATCAAAACTAAAATTTCAATTTAAATAGGATACAGCTGAATAAGAAAAATCCGTTCATGAACTTGGTCGATGAAATAGTCACGAACTGCTGTCAGGTTACACATACATAACTTCTGTTTATCAGTAATTACCAACATTAACTATTACTAAATGGGAGATTAATAATACATAGGAATAGTATAGAACATCCAGTTGAAACCGCATGAACTCAAATACTTACAAACCGTTAAGTCATCCAGTTCACCTTATTATGGTGGTTAAGACTAAATTTATGATTGACTGGAAAACTGTTTTTTCATATTGTGGAGGTGCTATAAATCATATTCCGCCATTTGTAAACGTAAATCTTAGACAAATATTGATTTCTTATAGCTACAATTAAACACGACGTCATTACTCACACGAAACCAAGTGGAAGTAAGAAGAAAAACACAGGTATATATGACGTTCATGACTAACAAACAAGGCAAATAAAAGTTGTGTATAAATTTAAAAAGCCAAAATTCAAAAAGTACAGGACTACAGAATTTAATGACTTCAACTAGACTAACTACATACGAA